AGCACACGCTCGGGTTTTTCCCATTTTCGATAGTTTTTGCAGGATAAAACGTATTTTTTTGTTTTAATAAAGAGAACACGCGTCACTATGCGAAAGCTGGCAAAACTGATTGACATATGGTTGCCAGTTCGTTTTCAGTAACATTTTCCGTATTGATATTTTCACGTCTGGTTGTGTTGGTGCGATATTTGAGAGTGTGTTAGTGAAAATCCGGAATTCACTACAAAAATTCAAATGGATGGAAAACGTAGGCCACGTCATTTTAATTTAATGGAACCATGGATTAATCAAAAATACACACAAAAGGTACATGTTTTTAATAAGTTCGTACGTCTATACAATTTAAATTTTATTTTTTTAGCGCTCGAAGACAAATCATCCTCCAAAAAACCCTTTTGATACTGTTTATGAGCCTTCAGAATGTGGTGATAATTTATCAATTAGCCATGAGAATATGGAACCAGGTATATGTACAATGAAATAAGTTTATTTCACGTATTTGCCCCATAAGGTAGATTCCAAAACTATCGGAATCTGCAAATTACAGCAGATACGGGAGCAGTTTTATTTATAATTTCAGTTTTCGATGGAATTTCACTTTCTATGTTGTTGTTCATATAGATATTTTGAGCTGCAGTACCGATACAGTTTCTTCCTTGAGTTCTTCTACACACAACACAACCGAGGAAGCTCATACGGAAAATGAAGGATTTATTAACACTGAGCGCATAAATTCCACATCTGTAAGCAGTAATATTGATAGTTTGAAATGTGCATCAGAGGGGCCTGAATTCGTAAATGAGAGTGAATATTATGGCGAAGATGAAAATGAATTGGTGAGAATTAGAAATATTATACTAATGTGAGGAATATTGTTTGGGTCACGTTTTTTGCATAGACCTTGAGTTGTTAATTAAAATGTACTATATAAAGTATATTTCCTCCATTTCAGAATCAAAATGACTTCATGAAGTTCAGAAACGACCTCAAGATTAATGACGTACTTTTCATGGTTTTGAATTATTATCTTAAGTATAATTTACCTCAACAAGGAGTAGAAGATTTATTGCGTATGCTCAATGTGTTTTCGACAAAAAAAGCTCTACCAGAGTCTTTTTCTATTTTCATGAGATTGTTTCCCAGCGAATATGATTTCGAGCGTGTACATTTTTGTTCAAAATGCCACTATGGGTAAGTGAAGGTTAGTAATATGTATAAAGTGATAAATATCACATCTATTTTATTTATTTTTCAGATACCATGGCACTCCAAGAGCCGATGTTGTGTGTCCTGTTGATAACTGTAATTCGCTTGAAAAGGACTTTTTTGTGATTTTTCCTTTGGAACCGCAAATAAGAGAAACAGTCCTGAAATATTCTGAACAGATAAAAGAATACGAAAATCTAATCATTGAAAAGGATATATGTGACATTAACCGAGGAATTTTGGCACAGTCCCTAACGTCAAGAGAAGAAACCAAATTCTTAACTCTTTCAGCGAATGAAGACGGTGCGGCAGCATTCAAAAGTACAACCAAGAAGCCTCTTTATCCTCTGTTTTTAACGATTAACAACTTACCACCAAAGCTACGATTTGACAAGAACAACCTTATTCTTGGTGCTCTCTGGTTCAATCGTGGAAAACCTGATATGGCACTTTTTCACAAAAATTTCATTTTGCAAACCCAAAAGTTACGCGATGGCATCCAAATTAATTCCGAGAGCTATAAAATACTGATACTCCAAAATTGCTTAGATTCAGTCGGTCGATGTGAAGTTTTTTGCTCTAAGCAGTTTAATGGTTCATATGGTTGTACCATATGTTTGCATCCAGGAAAGACTGTGAACAATCAAATTCGATATCCGTACCAACAAACTGAAGTTCGAAATGATGAAACAACGAGGAAAATCATGTGGCAGATTCATCAGTCAGGCTCAATGGAACCGATACTTGGAATTAAGGGCCTTAGTGTTCTAATCGGCATACCTGATTTTGATATCATAAAAGGATTGCCGCCAGACTATATGCACCTCGTAAACCTTGGTGTCATGAAGCATATTTGGCAACTGCTATTTGAAGGTGATGCTGAAAACAAGTCGCAGCCGTACTACATAGGTAGAAACAAAGAGTTGGTTCAGAAAAGACTACAGTCAATTCGGCTACCTAGCAGTTTTCCACGACGAATAAGAGATGTAGATGAATACTCGAAATTTAAGGCTAGCGAATGGGAGACTCTTCTTTTTCATTGCGTTTACCCATGCCTAAATGATTTGCTTCCAAAAAAATATGTAGATCACATAATGATGTTGAGCTCAAGTATATTTCTGCTTCTGGAGATAAAAGTGTCAAGAAACACTATTACCTCATGTGGCAAGCATCTAGATAATTTTGTTCGTGATTTTGAGCAGAACTATGGAGCAAAAAACATGGTATACAATGTACATTTAACGACACACTTAGCCCAGACAGTAAGAAACCTAGGAGCTCTCTGGAACTCTTCGCTGTACCCTTATGAGAACGGAAACGGCATGCTGATTGGATTCCAGACATCGAAGAATCATCCCGTTCTCCAAGTATCCAATAAATTTTTGCTTAACAGAACATGTCATTTTTCAAAAGTAACAAGGGAATTACCGGTTAAAAATTGGATATCAAAAGTGTGGAACTCATCACACCACAATGTTAAGCTCAATCAAAGCATTCGATGTTTTCTACCTGATAATATTGATCCGGATGGTAAATACAAGGCTACTCAGTTTTGTGATATTGGAAAATATTACTTTAATGGTATCCCAATTTGTTCTAAGGAAACGTGTAGAAACTTCATATATGACGACTCATTTGTTTTCCTTAATGGTATGTTTCAAAGAATCTATCGAATACTGCTTGAATCAGCGGAAAATGTTTATATTATTGGGGAAATACTCACTACGCAAAAGCTTTATGAAAATATGTATACGTATGAATACTCAGGAAACCTCAAACTAAACTGTATTAATGATTCCCTACGAGTCTGTGTCAATGTTACAATTTCAAACGGTGAAGACGCGGAACGTAATTTGAACTACATTTCCATTTGCAAAGCCAGAACACAAATTGATTAGCATATAGATATATATATATATAATAACATTTCAAATGTAAACCGTTTTTATACGATAATAATAATTAAATTAATCATCATGATTATCAAATGCTCTAATTTTAAATATTGTTACACTTTATTATCATACCATTAATTTGTAATGATTTGTTGCTCTGAAAATGTAAATAAAACACGAGATTGAAAAATTAACAATAATTTATGATGAAGTAATGAAATTGGGTTGTTAGAGGAATGCTTTTAATAAAACAAGGTTAAGGTTATCTTCCATTTAATTCCACTTAATTTATTTGGTATCCATGACAGATACGTATTTCGACTACAATGTGCAGTGCGACACTGATGAAGACTGCACATTGTAGTCGAAATACGTATCTGTCATGGATACCAAATAAATTAAGTGGAATTAAATGGAAGATAACCTTAACCTTGTTTTATTAATAATTTATGTTTGGTTGACTTGAACGATTTTTTTTCATAATAATTGTAACTAATTGTGTTATAATTATGTTTCTAAAGCCTTGTATTGTTTTCTTCCTTCTTCAGTACAGATTGCTTAAACAAAATTATAACAACGGCTGTTACTTATAACAGATGTTGATATAACTGAGATATAAGTTTGTTATGCTGTATTGGTCGGGTTATCTTAAATGTGATGTTGTACAAATAAATGTAAGTATGTATGATAATCTTTATGAAAGTATCAACAGATTTGAATTTATTCATAAATTGGCAACGTTACTGCTTTAAACTTGATTCTTACATCAAAGTGTCGTAAAAGAAACTACTTTTTTGAACACAACAATGTATGAAAGTTATTCAAATGCATGGTTTATCTTTAAAACGGTACCAAACAGAACATAGTCAACACGTTTTTTCAGTGCCATACTTTAGCCAGAAGTTTAAGGCACACATAATTATTTTTAAAATGGTTCCACAAGATTCAAATTTTGTTAAAGTATGACAAGGTTATGGCAGGTTGATGATTAGTTTTTTCTTTAAATTATCATAGCTTGTGGAGAGTTAGTCAGATACTGTATTCTCCAAACATTTCTGAAATTCAGTTATGAGACATTGGTGGAAAGAGATCTAAAATTTGTTGAAGAATGATAGAGTTACGATGATTTTAGTCAACGTCATTTATTAAAGGTCATAAATCCACCTTCCGTTTGCGCCACCTCTAAATCATTTTGATTTTTGTTACATTCTCGAGGACATCTTTTTTCAAGCCAGTCAGAACCATAAAAACGAACGATTTTTAGGTTTCGAAAAAAAAGGCAGCTGGTGGCAGTCCCAGGCCATAAAAGCACGATTATAAAAAAAACTCAAGTGGTACCTTTGTTCTGTAGAAGTTCATCGATTCATATATCAGTATAAACATCCAACAATGTCGATGATAAGCGCATCAATATCAAACCAAAGTGAAGCAGTTTGAAATTTGCATCATAAGTGTGTATTCAAATAACATGAAAGCAGAATTTTTTGCATCGCTCTAGCTGATCTCAAACATAAAGCCTACAACCAATGTTTGCACATCCAATCAATAAACAGCTTTTATCGCGATTTCAATTTACCGTCCCTGAAATGGAATTATTTAGTCACATTCAAACATATTGTAGACATTTTCCACATTCCGTAACGAAACACATCGATTTACGAATTCAATGAACCATCCATCCATCCAACCAACCAACGAACCAACATTGCATTGTTACCTAAAGCTAAAGCGCATCAAACTTCCGCTCCTAGGATATCTACACTACCACACATATCACACACACACACACACGTTTCAACCGATTTGCAATTCAAATTCACAATCCTGCCTTTTTTATTATTGTCTCTCGTTTCATGCTTCCGTTCTGCCGTTTTTTTTTTCTCCATTTCCGACTGGCAGGTCCCACGAGCGGACGCACGAAGAGCTGGAACTGGTTTACGAGGAACTGCTCCACATTGCCGCCCTGTCACACCTGTCCACGTCCATCAAGCGGGAGCTGGCGTCGATCATCGTGTTCGAGGCACACGCACATGCCGGAACTGTGTGTAAGTACATATGCCCCTCTGTCTAAACACGAAACAGTTATTTTTTACTACGTATTGAGGGAGGAGGGTGGTTGATTATGAGTGACTTGGTCAGTAGTGTAGTAAAATTTTACGATTGTCATCCCCGGAGTGCGCTTGCATATCACGATCGTGATATGACGCGACGGTGGTGCATGTCAATGTGGAAATGCATCAGGTTGCCTACCTTCGGGCTGTGCTCCCCCTCGGACTGACACCACGCCCCGTGTTTTACGATGATGGTGCGAGCGATAACAAAGTGAGCAACCTGCTGGGTTGTTGATGCTAAAGGGGGATGGAGGGGAAACGTTGTCATTGTAGCACGTCGACAGCAGAGATGATATTTAATTTTCACGTTCCATTTAACACCTGTTGGATGCTTTGAAATTTCCCTGGAATCTTGATGAAAGAGCGATGGTTGGAGTTGATACCTATGATGATGATACGGAATTCACTGATGTCTGATGGAATGGAATGATTGAAGAACTGCTGAGTTGTTGAAGCAATTTTGAGTTTAATGTTGCTCACGGTATTCTGATTATGGGATGCTTTATTTCAACTAGCTCAAGCATAGCTCTTGGAATCCCAGCGATTTAAGAATCCTTCCAGTACCTCCATAAAGCAACCATCAAGCCGCAGCAATTTGTCAAACTTGTTCCCAAGCTGATTATCAAAATTCTTCCTCCTCTGTTCAGATTACATCCACAAAAACGGAACTGCTTTCATCTCTCCAGCAAACTTTTCACCAAGTTTAATGAACTTGGCTCGAAATCAATCACTGCTGGAAATAGCACAGCCGGGTAAAAATTTCCCCCGTCATCATTATCATCGTCAGCTTGTAACTTTGGCAAGAACAGGTCGCCAAAAAAAAAAGTCGAAACACAAGCAAAATTTCATCATTTAAGCCATCGATTTCGTGTCCTACCCCAATGCGAACATTCCTTGTAAATGGTGAAAAAAATTTCAAAATTTTCTGCTGACAGTTGATGAACAGAATACTGAGAAATCCAATCTCAAACTTTGCGATTAGATTTAAGCAGAATAAGAAAAAATCATAGGCGAATCCAAGTTCCTCGACATCAATCCAATAGCTCAATAGCTGACGAAACTCAAATACCAATCGCTATTTACCAATTAGCAGTTTACAAACAAGATTTTCCTGGCAGCTAATTTATTTGGTAGCTAAGCGCGTTGCAATGACTTTTAACCTTCATCACCTAACAAAATTACCCGGAATCATGTGCTCCCGACTTGATTCGGGAAAAAGTTTGCTCCTAACGACATTACATTGCGTATCTAACGTGCTATTTGAGCTACCAAAACACCATAAATCCCATCTGCTCTGTGTCGGTAATTTCCTTCTTTCGACCGCCCATTTCAACTTCACAAACGCAAGTCCTTTTTGCCATCACATCCATCCATCAGCCGGCCGCTCGTGCATGACTTTCTCATTAGTGAGAGGTTAGGTTGGGTTTTTTGTTTCTTTCAACAGATGCCCAAAAGTACCCAGGATCTTATTCTAACGATACTCCATCGAGGCTCTCGTCATCATCATCATCATCATCGTTGGCACTAGGTATGCATGATAAATATATGTCTCAACTTTCGGTGTGACTGGACTCGAAAAAACAGCTTCACTCTGTTCGCTGACGCTGGTGTTTTGCTTTTGACGGAAGCAACTTTTCTTTTTTATCGTGAACTGCAAACTCTGAGTAAAGCCATTAAGTCTATATTAGACAGCAAATAGATCTGAATTGGGCGCTGGAGCAAATCTGATCCTTACAGACCACCTTTCAGGGCTATGAAGTAAAGATTCCTTGGAATTCTGTCTGAAAAGTTGGCAGGTGAAAATTTGATAAAAGATTCAAATTTATGAAGTGCTTGAAGGGACCTGCTGGACTAGTTTATCTAATTTTTTTAATAAATTGCATAACAGTTTTTCTTGCAATGAACTGCAGTGTACAAAAAAAGTTTTTCAGGAATGCATATTTTTGAATAAAACTTTCACGAGATGGTTTTATAGACGCAATGCATTTGGGGAAACAAACTTTGTTCAAAAAAAGTTGGAGGGTGGTGTACAAGACACGACCGCATTGTTGACGTAGAACTACGAAATTTTTGTGAGATTTTCTAGTTTGTTGTGTCGGATATTATTTTGGAATTAAGTGAATTTCATAACTCAACTCTTTTGCAGAAAGTTGTGGTGGCCCTGAACTGTGATGGTTTCTTTATGGCAAGCTTTGCTATAATCACTAGAACTCGTGTTTATTCGCGTTCATACATATAACTTGCACAGGAAATCACTTTGGCACGGCATTTGTGACCAGCATACCTTCCGGTAGCATGAAACAGGTCAAAATTTGCCCAAATCTGTCAATAAATTTGTTTGTTTTGCATTTGCTTATAGCAAAATACTGAGCTTTTCGGGAACATTCACGCCAAAGAACTCAAAAACACACTTTTTGTTACATGCCTCATGCATGTAACAAATGAAATTTTGATTGCCTTTCTTTTTGAACACGCCGATAAAGTACACAGACTCCTCCCATCATGAGTAGTTTGCTATCAAGTAGCGCCACTGGCTCCTCTCCTTTTGTACTCTCTGTACTTTAAGTCTATACTCTCTCTACTCTGTATTATTTAACGGTTCGGACGATTTCGAAAATGTTGCGCAGCAGGAGAATGCATACGATGAGGGTTTCTCAGTTTATGAAAATGAAACGGAATAAATTTAACCCGCCGATAAGACTACAAATAGAACATAATTTATTTCCCTACAAAATTATTTGATTTTTGTATCATTTTGATGTATTTAGTGACAAATTGAATGGGTGAATCATGGGTTACTCTATAAAAATTCTATTCTAACTCTTTTCTAACATGAACTTGGTGGCCCTGAAAAGGTCCGTTTTGTTACGTTGGTGATAAGTTTTAACCTCCGAAACGTCCCTGTCGCTTCAAAGTGTAGACGACATCCATGGGCCGTGATGGTTTTACGCAAATCCAAGGAAAAAAACGAAGAGCATTTTGTGTGGTCGTTGGGGGCGTGTGGTAGCAAAATGTTCCGCAAGTGCATCCTCCGTATTCGTACACGTCCGAAGATCGGAGGCGAATGTCACTTCGACTTGTTTCATCTAGGAACCATTATCTGATGACTGTGTTGGGGAAGCAGCATATGCATGTACGTAATTGATCGATTTGTTAGTTATTTCGAAGCGTTTGGACAATGCTTGAAATTTACCACTTTTTCAATAGTTTCTGTTAAGTCCGAGGTATTCTCAATAAAACTACGAATTTAAACGCGGAATACAAAATGCGTCTTTATTCGCGTTGCGTCACATAAACTCTCCTCTTATTCTTCTTCTTCCTTTTTCCCTTCCCTCCAGGGATCCACCAGTGCTTATACACGGTTGTTTAATCGAACACAACAATTTCCATTTTCTGCAAGTTGATTCATTACTCCGGAACTCGGTTTACATCGAGTATATAATCTTCAAATCTCAGTGGCCTTATAATTCTGTGCCTCAGCTTTAAGGAGGTTGGCTCCCCTGTTGGAAAACCTGTAGAATCATTGGAACCCCCCAAGTTGCCTCCTGGTCTTGGTGATTCACGTTGTTGTTGTGGAGGAGTAGTCCACTCAAACGCCTCGTCGTTATCCTTTTCCACAGCTTGATCAGCTTCAGCCTCAGCTTCAATTCCATCATGACCCTGGATCTTCTTCAGATGAGTTGAGTTACGCCGATATTTCTCGCCTGTAGGTGTTTCAACAAGAACAGATTTTTTTTTGCTTTTGGACAATTCTTGCAGGTTCCGGATAGAAATTAGCCGCCAACTTATTAGCAGGGTTCAAGTTCTTCATTAGGACTTGATCACCGATTTCAAGATTTGAATTTCTTGCTGCTTTTTTTCATCGTAATATGCCTTAGAGTTGAACTTGTAGGTCCTGTCATTATCTCTCACTTCTGCATCCATACCTTCGTCCGATTGGGAAACACGTGGGATCCAGTCTCGAAATTTTCGTCCAAACAATATTTCTGCTGGGGAATACCCGGTTGCGGGACGTGGCGTCAAAGCATACACGTAGTTGTATTCTTCCAGATCCTTTTTCCAATTTGTCTTATTCAACTCAGCGATCCGCAAAATCTTCGGGATGCTTCGATTCTGGCGTTCAACCTCGCCATTCGCCTGTGGCCAGTATGGTGTAGTGTGGCGAAGTTTTACACCAAATTCTCTGCAAAACTCTTCCATCTCCTTGCTCGAAAAGTTTCTTGCGTTGTCAGTCACCATCACACACGGGATTCCCAGCCTCATGAACACAGGACGCAATTTGCTGATGATGTCCGAAGATGTTGTTTGCTTCAAAACTTCAATCACTTTATATCGACTGTAAGGATCAATCATCACCAGAAGCGACTCTCCAGTAGCTACCGGTCCCAGTATATCCAAATGCAAAACTTCCCATGGTTTCTGCGGTAGTTCTCTTATCGCCATCGGCTCTGGCGGCGCTAACTTTCCCACAATTTGACAGTCCAAGCAGTTTTTTACAGCATTCTCCACATCCTTATCCATCGACGGCCACCACACTTTTGAACGTAGACGCTGTTTTGTACGCTCAATCCCCGGATGACCAATATGGACCAGGCGTAAAACATGTTTATGAACGCTTAGTGGTACCATCAAACGCTCACCTCGTAGAACCATTTCACCACAACAGTAGAGCTCATCCTTAAAGGGAGTATATTTCTTAACTGTATCACTCTATCGACCTGTACAAATTGCTTCTCTGACCTCTGCTAATGTTGAGTCATTCTCCGTGTGCTTGGACAGCTCTTCAATGGGCAAAACTACAGGTTTCGCAGTTTCCATGATGTTTAATATAGTTTCTTCTCCAACACAATCGTAAGTGGTGCAATATTTGAATTTCGGCAACCTCGACAGTGAGTGCGCAATGTTAACTTTTCCAGGTATGTGGACAATTTGAA